CCACTGGCGGAGCGAAAGGCCAGGATCAGGATGAAGACCGCAGCCTGGTGACCTTCCTTCCTACATCGGAAGCAGGCAGTGGGTTTGGGTCTTGCCGCCATCCTCCCTTCTGGGGCTTGGGGGCCTCTTGGAGATGTGGGGAGGAAGGCTTGCTCCACCCAGAGCCCCCACGGGGCGGAGATCAGTGGCATGTCATATCCGAGGCTGGTCTCAGGGAGCCCTGATAGAAGCATTTAAAGATGGATTAAATGAAGACATATACCAGAGATGCATTGCCAGAAGGGACCCCAATGACTTTCAGATGTGGTACTTGCTGGCAGAAGAGGTAGAAATTGATCTAACCTGAAGCAGATGCCGTGGGGGCTCTGGGTGGAGCAAGCCTTCCTCCCCACATCTCCAAGAGGCCCCCAAGCCCCAGAAGGGAGGATGGCGGCAAGACCCAAACCCACTGCCTGCTTCCGATGTAGGAAGGAAGGTCACCAGGCTGCGGACTGCAGGGCCAAGTTGGATCCAAAGGGGGCGCCAAAAGGAGAGAGGAAGCCTGAAAAAACCCCAGCGAAGCCTTGTGAAACTGCGCTAAAGACGAGGGAGGTTGTAGAGGTCACCCCTCCGGGAGGAGAGGAGCTGGGACCTCCAACCTCCTCTGAAGAGAGTGAATCTGACTCAGAAGACGAGTTCCTGGTAAATCCAAACAAGGGGCCTATGACCATTCCAGTGAAATTGAAGGTACCCACATCAGGGGCCGAAGGGGAGATGCTAGCCTTGCTAGACTCTGGGTGCATGAGGTGTGTAATCAACACAAGAGTAGTAGAGGAAATGCCCATAGCCTTTTGCCAATTGGATGGATCAGTGGTGGGGGGCTGCCCTGCACGCTTCATAATGGAACCCATAGAAATGACCATGGGAGAGCATAAAGAAACCCTGTGTTTTATTGTGGCCCCTGGGATGGAGCAACCGCTAATACTGGGATTACCATGGCTCGGGAAATGGAACCCCCACATTAACTGGAGGAAGGGGTCGTTACGCATACGTACCAACCAGCGACCGGAAAGGGAGCAGCAATCTCAGTTGAAGTCTCAAAATCCGGTTGAGTTAGCCTCCACAGGCACCGAGGACTTGGAGGGGAAGGAGAAAATTCTGAAGGAATATTGGGATTTAAAGGAAGTGTTCAGTGAAAAGGCCTCAGATGAGTCCCCCCCTCATTGATCAACAGATTGTAGCATTGAAATTTTACCTGGGGTGAAGCTCCCGAAACCGAAGTTATATTCGATGACACCAAGGGAATTAGAGGAGCTGAGATTGTTTATTGATAAAAATTTGAAACGTGGTTTCATCCAACCCGCTAGACCCCAGGTAGTGGCCCCAGTGCTGTTCCGTGAGAAGAAAGATGGCTCCAAGCGCTTGGTAGTGGACTATAGAAATTTGAACGCCATTTCCGTGGAAAACGTGTACCCCCTTCCCCTGATGAAGGACATGCTGGCCCACCTGGTCAAGGGAAAGATTTTCACAAAGTTGGACTTGAGAAAAGCGTACTACCAAGTTCGAATTAAGGAAGGAGATGACTGGAAAACAGCTTTTAATTGCCTGATGGGTTGTTTCCAATTCAACGTTCTCCCATTTGGCCTACAGGGGGCCTCAGCCATATTCATGCAGATGATCAATCAGGTGTTACATGAACAAGGGGGTTTTGGTTTACCTTGATGACATCCTTATCTATACGGAAACTTGGGATGAACATGTGAAACTAGTGCGGTCAGTCCTACAGAAACTGCGAGCCGCCAAATTGTACGCTCAACTGTCCAAATGTGAGTTCCATCAAGAGAAAATTGACTATTTGGGGTATTGCATCTCACATGAGGGCATAGAAATGGATCCAGGGAAGGTGCGTGCTGTGTTGGAATGCCCCCACCACCACGCACCAGAAAACAACTTCAAAGTTTCCTGGGATTCGCCAATTTTTACTGGCAATTTATCCCGGCTTTTGCTAAGATAGCAATGCCTATCATGAATCTCCTAAAAACTAAAGGGGAGGCAAAGCCAAGGCCTAGCAAACCACTGGAGTGGTCTATGAAGTGCCAAGCAGCCTTTGAAAAGCTGAAACGACTGTTTGCTGCAGAACCAGTGCTAAAGCACCTGGACATGGATGCCCCTTTCGTGATTCAGGCCGATTCAAGCAATGTGGCCGTGGGAGCGGTATTACTTCAAATCAATGAGAAAGGAACTTTACAACTCTGTGCCTATACCTCCCATAAACTATCTGAAACCAAAAGAAGGTGGGCCATATGGGAAAAGGAAGCTTTTGCAGTTCGCTGGGCTCTATTGACTTGGAGACATTTCTTGGAAGGAGCGAAACACCCGTTTGAGGTATGGACTGATCATAAGAATTTGGAGGCCTTAAAAACGCCTCGGAAGCTGTCCCCTAAACAAGTTCGCTGGGCCCAGTACTTTAAGTGATTTAACTTCTCATTGAAGTACATTCCAGGGGGGAGGAATTTCATGGAGGATGCTTTATCTAGACTGCCTCAATATAATAGTGTTCGCCAGGAAGTGATACGGCCGATTGTCTCAACCAAACAGCTAGCCGCCCCAGTTGTCACTAGAGCTCAAAAGAAGAAACAAGAAGTGGATTTATCGAATGATTTCACTGCACAATTAAAAGAAGCCCTAAAACTTGATTATTGTTTCCTGGCTCATTCGAATAACTGTACAGTTAGAGATGGTTTGGCCTGGATGGGAACGAAGTTGTATGTACCAGAAACACTGAGAAGCCAAATATTACAACAAGCTCATGATTCTAAAGTGGCTGGCCATTTTGGATTCATGAAAACCTTACTCCTAGTTAAGCAGCAATTCTGGTGGCCCACATTGAAGAAGGACATTGAGACTTATGTGGCTAGCTGCTCAATTTGCGTATCAGCAAAGAGACCTCCTGGTAAGCCAGCAGAGCTGTTACAAAATGTGGCTAGACCAACGGCTCCATGGAAGGAAATCTCTATGGACTTCATAGTGGAATTACCCGAAAGCGCCAGAAACATGGTTATTTGGGTGGTAACCAATTTGTTTTCCAAACAAGTACACTTCATACCTTGTTCCAAGATTCCATCTGCAAAAACGTTGGCTAAACTGTTTATACTACATATCTATAGATTACATGGTGTTCCTGAACATATAATTTCTGACAGAGGGGTTCAATTTACCTCGAACTTTTGGAGGGAGTTCCTGAAGTTAATAGGCTCCACCCAAGGCTTAAGCTCCACCCACCACCCCCAAACCAATGGAGCCTGTGAGAGAACTAACCAGTGTTAGAACAATACCTTAGATGTTACATAAATTATCAGCAGGATAATTGGGCCGACATATTGCCAATTTGCCGAAGTGGCATATAATAATTCTGTACATAGTAGTACTGGGTTTACCCCATTTAAAGTGGCGTCAGGGCAAGATTTTGTACCCATACCTGAACTTCCTCATGAAAGGCCTAACATCCAGTCATTAGAAGAATGGATATCTCAACTCCAACTTAACTGGCCAGTCACTCGTAAAGATGATGCACATCAATCTCATAAGAAGTTTGCAGACAAAAAGAGAACTCCACAGAAACCGTATCAAGTGGGCGACAACGTTTTCTTGTCCACCAGATATCTACAAACCACTCAAAAGTCGAAGAAACTTGGTCCTAAATATGTGGGTCCTTTCACGATTGAACAGATCGTAAATCCTGTGACAGTCCAACTGAAGTTACAGAAAACTCTTCGACGAATCATCCGGTCTTCCATGTTAGTTTGTTAAAACCTGAACATACTTCTGGTTTAAGACCAACCCAGACTGATCCTCCTATACCATTGCTAATTGAAGGTGAACAACATTTTGAAGTTAAAGAAATTCTGGACTCTCGCAAATGGAGGGGTCAGCTCCAATATCTCATAGCTTGGAAACACTTCTTCCCAAGCTGAGTGGGTCAATGAAAAAGATGTTAGAGCCCCTAAACTGATCAAAGCCTTTCGTACAAAGTATCCTGATAAACCCTAGAAATGTATCCATTTTTTTAACTGATTATTAATTAGTATCTTTTATCTTCCTTTTTCTCTTGTTAGGACTAACGTCTTTTTTCTAGGAGGGCCAAATGTCAGCCTTCAAGATCTTCTACTATTGCTTTGCATCTTTTGGCTGGGGAGTAAAGTCTGGGAAGCGAGCTGGAGGTGTTACATTCTAGTGTTGTGTAAAATGAGGAGGGGGGAGTATAAATTCTTGCTTAGGTTTCTATTTCTCGCTTAGCTTTCTTTTCTCTGTGCAACTGCAAACTTTTATCAAAATATGTCAAGGTCAACGGACAGAGGCCTCATCATCACCTGAAGATGTCCACATGATCATATTCACAACTTTTAATTGGAAGAATCATTTGAACTATTGGGGGTGGGAACATTTCCATCACTTTGTATATGTGATCTGCGCGCCTAATTTCCCAGATTCAGAATTTTATGGTTGCTACCACTTCAATTTCAGTAAAAGATATCTTTTCTCTAATCTAAAGAGTCTAAGTATTTCTTTCTTGAATTTGGAATGGAGCTCCACCTGACAATGTGTTTCATTACTTCTTTTTTTTTAAGCAGGAGTCCAACAAGCTAGTTTACCATTTTCTGTGATTTTTTTTTCCGTAGAAGTAGGTATATCTCAATAGCAGGGATCCAGCTACTTCCCAACAGCAACTGGAAACAGATACAGTATACCAGAATTATTAAAATATTTTAAAAGCCAGTTTTGATTCTCGGACTGTTAATTATGAAGAAGAATGATTACTTTCACATTATAATGAGACTAAATGTAAAAGCTTTCTATCCCTGAAAAATACATTACCTGTTTAAAAAGTTAAGGTTTTGTAAATATACAACTGAAGCAAAAATTGGGAAAGCAGTAAATATCATGATAGCAAGTATCACAGATACAGAATAAAGTCAAAAAAATAAAGTCATTTAATTACTAAAATGGTCCAAGCTACATACCCTAGTTAGATCCATCCCAAGTTTCAATTGTGAGATAATATGAAGGATTATACTACGCTGATCATCCAAGTCTGCTAAATCATCCTCTTCATTATCTTCAGTGTCTGTCACCTCATCTTCAACCAGAATCACTTCACGAGTTGTATGCTAACAAATAGAATATAGTTAGTATTCTGGACATAAATAGAACAGCATGGCATATATTCAAATAAGCTTATTGTGGCATTCTTTAAAAACACTAAGATCCTTTCTAAATAGTCATGCAAAACAGAGCTGATGCTTTCTATATATATGGAATGGGACTACAATATGTTGGCCAAAAATCTTAGAAAGTGTGATTCCAACACATTTTAAGGAAATATTATAACTTCAGGAAAGGTTAATTAAAAATTCCCAAGAATATTAATACTTTCTATGCTATAGGGCAGGGGTGTCATACTCAAGGCCCGGACGCCGGATCTGGCCTGTGGGGTGCTTAGATCTGGCCCATGAGGCTGCCCTGGAAACATCAGACCAGCCCACGGTGACTCGGCCTGGCCCTCCTGAGCTCCATTTTTGGTGGCAGCATGCTGGAGCAGGTCGTCACAGCCAAAAATGGAGCTCGGGTGGGCTGCCTGTGCCCTTTCCAAGCTCTGTTTTTGCTGGCAGAGTACTGCAGGAGGCTGTCACAGTGCAAAACAGAGCTCGGAGGGCTGCCTGCGTGGAGAAGGGGGTAAACGTAGCCAGGCATCCCTTTGGGGAAGTGGGGCTGGGATCAGCTGGGCTGTGGGATCCCGGTGCCCTGGAAGTTCATGGGCCAGGCTGGGCATTGGTCCTCCATTGTCTAGGGCTCTGGACATTTTTGTGCTGCCATCCAGGGGTCCTCCACGTGGCCTGAGAGGGACGGTAAGAGTCTAGAGGACAAGCATTTGGCACTCTCCCTGGTCTTGCCTTCCTCCACTGGAAGACAGTGGATCCCCCCAGCCCTACCTGGACCACCAAAGTGCACCTGACATGATTAACATTGAGCTGGCCACACCCACACTGGCTCCCCAAAGTCAAACACAACCCGGATGTGGTCCTCAATGAAATCGAGTTTCCTTCAAAACTATCTGAGATGAAATTAATATACTGTATAAAGAACCAAATACCTAAAATAATAGAAAAAATGAATTTGTTATATTTCCTTTAAAAAATAAACTCAGAGAGGGCAGAGCTTGCGTCGCAGCGGTACAACATGCAATCTTTAAGCTCTAAGATCGCTGCTGATATCTTCACTGCAGGATGGTCCCAATGGACCTAAACCGTCCCGTAGAGACGGTGATAGAGGAGGGCACATCCTGTCGATCCCAGGGACATCGCAAAGTCCCTGATAGATCCAGGAGAAGCCCTTTTTTCCCACAGTGGAGAGGCAGCCATTAAAGCTGCTGAAGCTGGGACAGCTCCAGAACGGAAGAAAGCTGGAAAGAAAGTGTGTCAGTTTGGTGAGATAATTTTCTACTTATTTTTTTCTGGAGAGAACACCCTAAAAGACTAAAAATTAAATTTAAAAGTGAAGATAAAAGTGCTCAAGCGGCAAGATTAAGCACAAATTAAACCTGAAGGTTTTTTTTTCTTTTTATTGGAATTTTGGATTTTGTTAAAACTTTTTAACTTTTTAACTGGACTGGTCTTTCCTTTTTAATTTTTATTTTTTCCCTTCAAAACAACTCTTTGGAAAAGTTTTTATTATATTGCTTTTTCTTTTTAATAATTTTATATTCTTTATATTTTTAATTATTCCTGATTTTAATATTAGAGGGGAAGGGAAGGGAAAGGGAAATAAGTAGTGCTGCCACCTGGGGGCTTGGATACATTGTTTTCTTTTCTTTCTTTCTTGTTGATACATTTGCTGTTACATTCAAGGACTCTGTGCCTTTCATTGAAAAGATAGTGGGAAGAGCATGTAGATTGTTTGCAGGTGCTCTTCTGTGGAACTACTGATAGCTGGAGTCTGGATTTGAAATTGAAGAAAGAAGATTGAAGTGACCTTGAAAAGAGAACTGGAAATTTTGTTTTTTGATTTAGTAAAGAGCCTCGAACATATAGTGGCAGTGCTTTGCTTGTTGACAAAATTGCATTTTCTCTTCCCTTTTTTTTCTATTTCCCCCCCCCCCCGTTGGATTTTTAAGACTACTTTCCCCCCTCCTCCCTTTGTTTTACCTCTTCTGCAAGGGGAATATACAGATCTCTGTCTTTTTAAATCTTTTCTTAATTTTTTTATTTTTTCATCCTTTTTTCATTTTATATTTTTTTCCCTTTTTTCCTACATTGGATTAAGGTATTCAAGTGCCTGAAGATTTTTCCCTTCCCTCTTTTTTTATTATTATTATTATTATTATTATTATTATTATTATTATTATTATTATTTTACTGGAGTGGCAATTGGCTGCTCTTGCTTTTTCTTTTCAATTTTTCTATTGTACTTTAAGATGAACTGAAAAATACCAGCCTCAGCTTTTTCAATCCCGACTTCTTCTTCCCCACCATCTGGAGGACAACGATCAATACAGGGGATATTATAACAAGAGAAGCAGAAAGAAGTGACACTGCAGATGATTATGCAAGGAATTCAAAAGATACCAGTAAAAACAAATAATATTGAAAAGAGAACAGAGAATATTGAGCAAAGAATGGAAAAGATGGATGAAAAAATAGAAAATAATCAACAGATGATGCAATACGAGGACAGAATTAAGAAAATTGAAGAACAAGATGTACAAAGATATAAGAAGATTGGAGATATGGATACCTCACTGAGTGAAGTGGAAAGAGATAAGGGCAGATCTCTGCAATCATTGGGATGGGAAATTGATAGATCAGAATTCTATCTTAGATTTCAAAATATAGAAGAAGAAAAGGGTGAAAACCTTACTGAAATGATGACAGAAATCCTGGCAGAAACATTAGAGGTAACTAAAGAGAAAATGATGGATGGAATGGACGAGGTTTTTCGTGTTTATACAAGATATGCAATGAGAAATAAACTGCCAAGGGAAGTTCATATCGGATTTACTAAGAAAATAATAAAATCACAAATACTGCAGGTGGTAAGAGAATAAACACTAAAGTACAAAGATAAAGAAATAGTGGTACTGAAACAGGTACTGAGAAGAGTGAGAGAGATAAGAAGAGAATATTTATTTTTGACCAAAGAGTTACTTAAGAGAGGAATAAATTACAGATGGCTGATACCCGAAGGTCTCATGTTTAGCTGGCAGGAACAAAGACACAGAATTGATACAGTTGACAAAGCGGAATTATTCTATCTAGAATATTTTAGAGGGAAGGGAGGAAGATACAAGAAAAGAAGAGTTGTTAATTAAATTCCAAGAGGAATGTATGGCAGTAACTGAAAAAGAGAAAGGAGCCGTAGGTGGTGTACCCAGAGAACAACAAGAACCAAGATCTACTAGAGCAACAAATCCTTCTTACAAAGTCTAAAATGGATGAGAAAAAATTGATTACAATTAATATAAATGGGCTTAATTCAGCTATTAAAAGAAGAAAAGTATTTCATAAGTTAGAGAAATTAAAATTTGATATAATCTGCCTACAAGAAGTATATATTAAAAAACATGATTATATATTGAAACAACAAAAATTAGGGAAATTATTTACAGCGTTAACACATTGTAAAAAGAGAGGAGTGGTGTTATACATTAGAGATACAATCCCTGTGGAACAAATCTATACAGATGATGATAGAAAGATTTTTGATGGTGGAGATAACGGACAATAATCTAAAGACATTTTTAATAGCAATTTATGCTCCAAATGATAATCAAGAAGATTTTTACAGGAAATTACATAAGAAAATATTGTGACTCGGAGGTTTAAGCCTGCTCTGTTAGAAGACACAGACTTGAGCCATGAAGAAGAGGAGGATTTGGCTCTGAGGTTTGAGCCGGCTTTGCTGGAGGATTTGGAATTGCCTTCCTCCCCAGGACCTTCCTCCCTGGTTGTGCCTCAGGTGTCGGCAGATAATCAGGAGAGCGTAGCGGAGCCTCTGGCTGAAGATCAAACTGAGGAATGTTGGTTTGATGTGAGGCAAAGACACAGGCATAGGCGTGAGATGCAATGCAGAAGGACAAATCAGGGACTGAGATGAGAGACTGACATGCCCCTCAGGGAATAAAAGTGGGCGTGTTAGCTCTGGATTCTCGTTTGGGACAATTTGTTAATTTGGGATAGAAGCTTCGACAAATTCTGTGTGTGGCGTTTGCCTGTGATTTATGTTCTTGCTTTATTATCGGACTTGGCAGGCAGCTTGTGGGAGACTGCCAAGGACTTCTCCAGTCAAAGGAATTTAACCCTGTTGTTACTGGTCTTGTCTGCGTGTCTATATTCCTTTGAAAACTTGGACTCTCACCTCGTGGGCACAGGTGAGACATAACAAGAAAATAATTGGGTTGGAGAGCTTCCGGTGGCAGGACAGGGCGAACGGAGGTGAAGAAGACTGTTGCAGTCTTTGAACACCTTTTCTGGCGCCAGGAGCGATCCCCCAGAGATACACGAACCCTGGAGAGGTTCGTGTCAACGTGGAGAACCTCGAGCGGCAGAGTGGGGAAGGCAACCCCCCGACAGCAAAGAGGGAAGCTCCCGAGCCCGGCGCAAAAGAGTAAGCTGTCATTCTATGGCGGCTTCAAGTCCAGTCTGCCACTTGAGTGAATAAGCAAAGCAGTGACAGCCTGTGAGGTCGAGAGTAACAGGAACAGAGAAACGGTTTATAACTTGGAACCTTTGAAGACTGAAGATAGCAGAATGACAGAAGAATGACAGCGTAAATTCTTCTCTCCTGGTTGTGATTAGCACCTTTCAGAAGTCGGGCGGAAAGCGGCCAGAAAAGCAGTTGGGAAAATGAAAGGACTATAATGGAGAGCAGAAAAGCCTAAGCACAAAAGTGAAAGTGCAGATTTTACCCTGTGAAAGGGAAGCTCTGGAGAAAGAGGGAGATTGCTAAAACCAGGAGATCGGAGGTCCGGAATTGGTGAGGGGCTTCATCTGATTTTTAGACCTTTCTTTTTGACTTTACTTGAGAAAAGGGAGGCGATGGAGGTGAAAGAATACTGGCATTGATCGAGTCTGATGAATCCTCAGATCTGAGCACAACACGACTATCACACCTA